AAGGTAGTGAGTTACCTGGGCTAGTACCCTCACTGGGCTCCTTGGAAAGGTAGTGAGTTACCTGGGCTAGTACCCTCATTGGGCTCCTTGGAAAGGTAGTGAGTTACCTGGGCTTGTACCCTCACTGGGCTCCTTGGAAAGGTAGTGAGTTACCTGGGCTAGTACCCTCACTGGGCTCCTTGGAAAGGTAGTGAGTTACCTGGGCTAGTACCCTCACTGGGCTCCTTGGAAAGGTAGTGAGTTACCTGGGCTTGTACCCTCACTGGGCTCCTTGGAAAGGTAGTGAGTTACCTGGGCTTGTACCCTCACTGGGCTCCTTGGAAAGGTAGTGAGTTACCTGGGCTAGTACCCTCACTGGGCTCCTTGGAAAGGTAGTGAGTTACCTGGGCTTGTACCCTCACTGGGCTCCTTGGAAAGGTAGTGAGTTACCTGGGCTAGTACCCTCACTGGGCTCCTTGGAAAGGTAGTGAGTTACCTGGGCTTGTACCCTCACTGGGCTCCTTGGAAAGGTAGTGAGTTACCTGGGCTTAGTACCCTCACTGGGCTCCTTGGAAAGGTAGTGAGTTACCTGGGCTAGTACCCTCACTGGGCTCCTTGGAAAGGTAGTGAGTTACCTGGGCTAGTACCCTCACTGGGCTCCTTGGAAAGGTAGTGAGTTACCTGGGCTTGTACCCTCACTGGGCTCCTTGGAAAGGTAGTGAGTTACCTGGGCTAGTACCCTCATTGGGCTCCTTGGAAAGGTAGTGAGTTACCTGGGCTAGTACCCTCACTGGGCTCCTTGGAAAGGTAGTGAGTTACCTGGGCTAGTACCCTCATTGGGCTCCTTGGAAAGGTAGTGAGTTACCTGGGCTAGTACCCTCACTGGGCTCCTTGGAAAGGTAGTGAGTTACCTGGGCTTGTACCCTCACTGGGCTCCTTGGAAAGGTAGTGAGTTACCTGGGCTAGTACCCTCATTGGGCTCCTTGGAAAGGTAGTGAGTTACCTGGGCTTAGTACCCTCACTGGGCTCCTTGGAAAGGTAGTGAGTTACCTGGCTAGTACCCTCATTGGGCTCCTTGGAAAGGTAGTGAGTTACCTGGGCTAGTACCCTCACTGGGCTCCTTGGAAAGGTAGTGAGTTACCTGGGCTAGTACCCTCATTGGGCTCCTTGGAAAGGTAGTGAGTTACCTGGGCTTAGTACCCTCACTGGGCTCCTTGGAAAGGTAGTGAGTTACCTGGGCTTAGTACCCTCACTGGGCTCCTTGGAAAGGTAGTGAGTTACCTGGGCTTAGTACCCTCACTGGGCTCCTTGGAAAGGTAGTGAGTTACCTGGGCTTAGTACCCTCACTGGGCTCCTTGGAAAGGTAGTGAGTTACCTGGGCTTAGTACCCTCACTGGGCTCCTTGGAAAGGTAGTGAGTTACCTGGGCTTAGTACCCTCACTGGGCTCCTTGGAAAGGTAGTGAGTTACCTGGGCTTAGTACCCTCACTGGGCTCCTTGGAAAGGTAGTGAGTTACCTGGGCTTGTACCCTCACTGGGCTCCTTGGAAAGGTAGTGAGTTACCTGGGCTAGTACCCTCATTGGGCTCCTTGGAAAGGTAGTGAGTTACCTGGGCTAGTACCCTCATTGGGCTCCTTGGAAAGGTAGTGAGTTACCTGGGCTTAGTACCCTCACTGGGCTCCTTGGAAAGGTAGTGAGTTACCTGGGCTAGTACCCTCACTGGGCTCCTTGGAAAGGTAGTGAGTTACCTGGGCTTGTACCCTCACTGGGCTCCTTGGAAAGGTAGTGAGTTACCTGGGCTAGTACCCTCATTGGGCTCCTTGGAAAGGTAGTGAGTTACCTGGGCTAGTACCCTCACTGGGCTCCTTGGAAAGGTAGTGAGTTACCTGGGCTAGTACCCTCATTGGGCTCCTTGGAAAGGTAGTGAGTTACCTGGGCTAGTACCCTCACTGGGCTCCTTGGAAAGGTAGTGAGTTACCTGGGCTTGTACCCTCACTGGGCTCCTTGGAAAGGTAGTGAGTTACCTGGGCTAGTACCCTCATTGGGCTCCTTGGAAAGGTAGTGAGTTACCTGGGCTTAGTACCCTCACTGGGCTCCTTGGAAAGGTAGTGAGTTACCTGGGCTAGTACCCTCATTGGGCTCCTTGGAAAGGTAGTGAGTTACCTGGGCTAGTACCCTCACTGGGCTCCTTGGAAAGGTAGTGAGTTACCTGGGCTAGTACCCTCATTGGGCTCCTTGGAAAGGTAGTGAGTTACCTGGGCTTAGTACCCTCACTGGGCTCCTTGGAAAGGTAGTGAGTTACCTGGGCTTAGTACCCTCACTGGGCTCCTTGGAAAGGTAGTGAGTTACCTGGGCTTAGTACCCTCACTGGGCTCCTTGGAAAGGTAGTGAGTTACCTGGGCTTAGTACCCTCACTGGGCTCCTTGGAAAGGTAGTGAGTTACCTGGGCTTAGTACCCTCACTGGGCTCCTTGGAAAGGTAGTGAGTTACCTGGGCTTAGTACCCTCACTGGGCTCCTTGGAAAGGTAGTGAGTTACCTGGGCTTAGTACCCTCACTGGGCTCCTTGGAAAGGTAGTGAGTTACCTGGGCTTGTACCCTCACTGGGCTCCTTGGAAAGGTAGTGAGTTACCTGGGCTAGTACCCTCATTGGGCTCCTTGGAAAGGTAGTGAGTTACCTGGGCTAGTACCCTCATTGGGCTCCTTGGAAAGGTAGTGAGTTACCTGGGCTTAGTACCCTCACTGGGCTCCTTGGAAAGGTAGTGAGTTACCTGGGCTAGTACCCTCACTGGGCTCCTTGGAAAGGTAGTGAGTTACCTGGGCTTGTACCCTCATTGGGCTCCTTGGAAAGGTAGTGAGTTACCTGGGCTAGTACCCTCACTGGGCTCCTTGGAAAGGTAGTGAGTTACCTGGGCTAGTACCCTCATTGGGCTCCTTGGAAAGGTAGTGAGTTACCTGGGCTAGTACCCTCACTGGGCTCCTTGGAAAGGTAGTGAGTTACCTGGGCTTGTACCCTCATTGGGCTCCTTGGAAAGGTAGTGAGTTACCTGGGCTAGTACCCTCACTGGGCTCCTTGGAAAGGTAGTGAGTTACCTGGGCTAGTACCCTCACTGGGCTCCTTGGAAAGGTAGTGAGTTACCTGGGCTAGTACCCTCACTGGGCTCCTTGGAAAGGTAGTGAGTTACCTGGGCTAGTACCCTCACTGGGCTCCTTGGAAAGGTAGTGAGTTACCTGGGCTAGTACCCTCACTGGGCTCCTTGGAAAGGTAGTGAGTTACCTGGGCTAGTACCCTCACTGGGCTCCTTGGAAAGGTAGTGAGTTACCTGGGCTTAGTACCCTCACTGGGCTCCTTGGAAAGGTAGTGAGTTACCTGGGCTAGTACCCTCATTGGGATCCTTGGAAAGGTAGTGAGTTACCTGGGCTAGTACCCTCACTGGGCTCCTTGGAAAGGTAGTGAGTTACCTGGGCTAGTACCCTCATTGGGATCCTTGGAAAGGTAGTGAGTTACCTGGGCTAGTACCCTCACTGGGCTCCTTGGAAAGGTAGTGAGTTACCTGGGCTAGTACCCTCACTGGGCTCCTTGGAAAGGTAGTGAGTTACCTGGGCTTGTACCCTCACTGGGCTCCTTGGAAAGGTAGTGAGTTACCTGGGCTAGTACCCTCACTGGGCTCCTTGGAAAGGTAGTGAGTTACCTGGGCTAGTACCCTCACTGGGCTCCTTGGAAAGGTAATGAGTTACCTGGGCTAGTACCCTCATTGGGATCCTTGGAAAGGTAGTGAGTTGCCTGGGCTTAGTACCCTCACTGGGCCCCTTGGAAAGGTAGTGAGTTACCTGGGCTTAGTACCCTCATTGGGCTCCTTGGAAAGGTAGTGAGTTACCTGGGCTTAGTACCCTCACTGGGCTCCTTGGAAAGGTAGTGAGTTACCTGGGCTTAGTACCCTCACTGGGCTCCTTGGAAAGGTAGTGAGTTACCTGGGCTTAGTACCCTCACTGGGCTCCTTGGAAAGGTAGTGAGTTGCAGTTACTAGAGGTGTTTAAGCAGACAGTGAACCCCTGAGAAGGGATGTTATAGAGGTGGCTCAAGCCTTTTCGGAGATTGGACTAGACGATTCAGCAGGAGTCTGTAATGTGGACATGGATGGATGGCGACATGGATGGGTGCCAAGGCAAGAGTCTTAACCCACTGCTCAGACCCAGACTTCCTGCCTCCCAGGCAGACCAGTTCCCTGAAGGTCATCCTCCGTACCCTTCTGCCAACTTAAGAATCACCTAGGGCTGGGCAGAGTGGCTCATGCCTGTAATCCTAGCACTTTGGGAGGCCAAGGTGGGTGGATCACTTGAGAGGTCAGGGTTCAAGACCAGCCTGGCCATTGTGGTGAAACCCCATCACCACTAAAAATACAAAAATCAGCTGGGCATGGTGATGGATGCCTGTAATCCCAGCTACTTGGAAGCTAAGGCAGGAGAATCACTTGAACTTGGGAGACAGAGGTTGCAGTGAGCTGAGATTGCACCAGTGTGCTCTGGCCTGGGTGACAGAGTAAGACCCTGTCTCCAAAAAGAAGAATCACCTAGGAGAGCCAGGACCCAGCCCAGAGGTGGTGACTCTGAAGGCTGCAAGATCCCTGGCCTCCATCACTTTCCACTGGCTGGAGGGCTCTGACCAGCTGGGGACCACGGTAAACACAGGAGGACCAAGGCCAGCACTGGCTTTCCTCATGCTCTCAGAGAGTTGTCAGCACGGATGGGCTCCACATACTGCAGCCGGCACCTCCTACAGACCCTTCCTTTATAAGATCAGAGGCCCAGAGAGGGGAAAGGATTTTCATGGTCATATAGGAAGGCTCCACCTCCCAGGCTCCTACCCCTTCCTCATCACACTCTCTCCCCTCTCTTCCCTCTACTCCTGCATTCCCATCCTGCTGGCAGAGTCCAGGCCTGGGAAAATGTCCTGGGATAGGGCCAGGAGGAGAAGGCTTCTCCTGGGTCCCACAGAAATCAGAGGAGGCTATTCAGCTGCTTACCACGTTGATGAAAACCATGGTGGCTGGCTTCATTCTTGAGGAGATGGGAATGGAGAGGAGCCGGCCCAGTGTGATGAAGCCCCAGAAGAGGCTGGGGAGGTAGCCGGCCACCTTGTGTCCCACAGACAGGGGCTTCTCCACGGCATAGCTGTACACGAAGGCGGAATAGGCACCCTGTGGAGAGACCGGGCACCGCTGAGCACACCTGCAGCCCAGCCAGACAACCACCCTCACAAAGGGAGCCCAGGCTGGGCAGGTGTGTTGAGGGCAGTGGGATGACTGCCTTCTCCTGTTCCCAGAGGCTCAGCCAGGGCTGGGCTTGGAGCCAAGGCTACACAGCACACTTGGGCCTGAGCTGAGGACAGAACCTGGGGTGCCTTAGCTTATAGACTACACCGTGGAGACCTAGGGGTTCCAGAGAGTTGGCTTTTCCTGGTTGAAGTGGGGAGCAGTGCCTGCCCTCACAGGACCTCCATGGCTACAAGTCCTGGGCAGACAGGAACTGTTCCCCACGTCAACCAGAGAAGAACACCACTTAAAAAAAAAAAGATGTGTGCGGCCAGGCACGGTGGTTCATGCCTGTAATCTTAGCACTTTGGGAGGATGAGGCAGTTGGAAAACCTGAGGTCAGGAGTTCAAGACCAGCCTGACCAATATGGTGAAACCCTGTCTCTATTAAAAATACAAAAATTAGCCAGGTGTGATGGCATGTGCCTGTAGTCCCAGCTACTTGGGAGGCTGAGGCAAGAGAATTGCTTGAACCAGGCAGGCAGAGATTGCGGTGAGCCAAGATCATGCCATTGCATTCCAGCCAGGGGGACACAGCAACACTCCATCTCAAAAAAAAAAAAAAAAGGTGTACAAGCATCTCGTTTTATGGGTGAGAAAGCAGACAGAAGTGACTTGTCCAAGGTCACACCAAGTGCTGGAAGTCAACCAGTACTGTCATGAGTGCTTTCCACCAGCTCATCTAACTTTTTAGGGCTTTTTCTTTGGAGAGGCCATCATATGGCAATCAGTTGATCAGCCATTCATGACTGTCCTGATGTAATCCTAAGAAGTTTCTAGGAAAAGGTGCTAACTAATGTAACAGGGGTCACTAGTGAAATGAACAGCTGGGCCTAAATTCCACCTGAAGCTTGATTACAACACTGGCTTGAGACACTCAGGTTTGTAATGTATTACAGGAAGCAAAGAGTTTATATGACATGACCTCTAATTGGGGAATAGGGCACCACCCCTTTAAAAAATGCAGGTAGCCTGCCCCAACAACAAACCAGTTAGGCCCCTACCTATAGCACTAACATAAAAAAAAAAAAAAAAAGCAACTGGCCAAGACAGAGGTCCATAGTACCAGTACACTGCGACTGATTCTGGAGATGGTCTCCCTAGGACTTTAGATTAAATTTTTGAATCAACTGTACTCCAGGTGAGGTCTCCAGGAAACCTTCATGCTCCTCTCTTTCTCTTGCCATTCCCAGACTGGAGTCTCAGGGTGCAGGTTCCCCCAATAGGGGGTGCTCTCTGAGGCAGGCTCACCGTCAACCCATCGGTCATGAACAGGACCAGGGCGGCTGTGATGTGGATGGCGAAGAAGGAATAAGGGGCCCCTCTGAGGTTCTTCCTTTGGCAGCAGCTGAACAGGTCCTCATGCCCTGGAGGAGGCACAGGGAGAGCAGGGGTGAGTCTCAGCTTCTGTGCCCTCCCTCTGCATGTCCCAGGGACGTGGCTGGCAGTCAGAAGAGCCCTGTGGGATGGGGCCCACCTACTGCCTCCACCTTCACTACCTTTCTGTTAGGAACAGCCCCTGTCCATCTCCCCATCTTGGTGGAACCAAAGCTCAAAGAGGTCAAGTGACTTGCCCAAGGTAACAAAAGGCAAGGCTGAGCAGAATGGAGGTTGGAGCCAGAAGTCTGCCTTCCTCATTCTCTTGGTCAGGTTGCACCATCAGGGCCAAGGTTTTTTTTAAAAAAGAAAACATTATCACCTGTGGCTGGACACGGTGGCTCACACCTGTAATCCTAGCACTTTGGGAGGCTGAGGCGGGTGGATCACCTGAGGTCAGGAGTTCGAGGTCAGCCTGGCCAACATGGCAAAACCCCGTCTCTACTTTAAAAATACAAAAATTATCCAGGTGTGGTGGTGTGAGCCTGTAATCCCTGCTATTCGGGAGGCTGAGGCAGGAGAATCGCTTGAACCTGGGAGGCTGAGGTTGCGGTGAGCCAAGATTGCACCACTGCACTCCAGCCTGGGTGACGAGAGTGAAACTCCCTCTCTAAAAAAAAAAAGAAATGATTATCACCTGTGATCTAGGTTCATTCTCTCTGGGAGAGGGGTTACCAAGGAAGCCTTAACATGAGGCTGTGGGGATGCAAATTTATTAGAGCCCCTACCTGGGTGTGACTGAAACTTTGGGGGCAGTGAGGAGGCATCTTCCTTCTCAGGAGGCTGTGTCTCCAAGGCCAGCTCATCAGCAGACAGGAGGAGGGGCCTGCTCTGGGGGCAGCAGGTCAGCAGTCGCTCCCTGGACAGCAGGGTCAGCACAGCCATGGGCACTGGAAGCTGAGGAGCAGGCAGAGGGTCAGGGAGCCCTGCCCCGAGGCTCCCCCTTCCCACGCCTGGCCTCTGCACACACTGCATGTGCATAGTCCTGGGAGAGGACAGCTCTTTCCCAAGGGTTCCCAGCTAAGAGCTGGGCCATCCCCATCTAAGAAGCCAGGTGCCTTGACCAAGGTAGGAGTGGAGAGGCTTGGGATAATTGCTGCCTGATCTTTGCCATCCTCGCTTCCCTGAAAAGACGGATACTTGTCACATGCAAAGCTTCGACTCAAACTCTGCTGGCCCAGGAGAGCTGTTGGGGGTAAGCTTGCTGGGGTCACACCTCACACTCCTTCATGCTGGCAGGTCACGTGATGCTTTACAAAGCAGCTTTGCTTTTGGGCATTACACCTCTACCAAATATGCTGGGGGACTATTATCCCCATTTTTCAGATAGGATAACTGAGGCTTGATGTTATCACTTAGTCATAACCTGTTAGAACTGGAAGAGATCTAAGGGGTAAACTAGAGACTGAGAGACTGCCCTGGTCACACAGCAGACTCAGGGCAAAGCAAGACTGGAACCTGGCATCCTGATTTTTCCAGTGCTGGCTCCACCTAAGGAGCTGCCTTGGTGATGTTTATCCCAGCAGGGCGCAGAGGCTCTCCTCAGAGGCTTGAAAACACAAACATGGTCTCCTTTTGATTAAAAATACACATAAGCCCAATATTCGGCTTGCTGCAGTTTATGCTAAATCTGAGCTTCTTCAGAGCAATAGGAAATGGTTCCTGCTTCTGAAGTTGCCTGAAGAAGCTTCTACCACATTCCTCGGGGGCTCCTGCCTGTGTCTCACCGCTGGCTGCCTGAAAGTATCTCGTCAAGTCTAACTACTGTCCTTTCTGCTGCAACTTCAGCCCAGTTCCTTTTGCTTAGGAAGGAGAGGAAGCCCAGGGAGCGGTGGATGTCTCCCAGAGGTTGGTGAGAGTGCCTAGCTATTGGGCTCTTCCGGGCCCGAAAGAGAGCCCAGCAGGGTAGAGATGGAAGGCCAGCAGATTGCCAGCCCCTGCCTGGTGCTCTTCTGGGGAAACCGTTCCCCGCCCCTGGAGGCAGGCTGGCTCTCACCAGTACTTCCCCAAACCACCCGACAGGAGTGAAAGACAAAAACCACCCCTGTGTTGGTATCTCCCTAGGGTGACCTTGGGAGCCTTTCTGCACACTCAAAAAGAAGTCAAGGTCAAACACAGACCCTGGCCGTCAGGCCTCAGTGGGGAGAGAATAGCCCCTGCCCTCAGGAGATCTGAGCCCTAGATGGGGAGACACAGCCCTCCCCCCGGTGTGAGGCGGAAACAGGAAACCCACCCACAGAGGCCTGTAGTGGCAGAGTGCCTGAGTAAAGGCCAAGGGGAAACAGCTGTACCAGAGGCGTGATCACTCAGGTGGGGCTTTCCAGGGAGGTGGGTGCTGGGAAGGACTTCATAGAGGATTGGCTGGCACTGCTGGCAGGAACACACCCGATTTTATAAGAATTCCATTCAATGAAGACAGCCCCACCTTAAAAGTCAGAGAAGGCCAGGTGGGGCATGCGTGTGTCCGTGCATGCGCATGTACGTGCGTGTGCGCCCACATGACTGCATGCACAGCCCCATCTTCCTCTATGCTGGACTGTTTATTTTCAGACACAAACCAATAGAAAAAAGTCCGGAAATCCTGCAGCAAACAAAGTCCCTCCAGTCTGCACTTCATGGGGCAAGAGAGAACAAACCTCCGGCTTAAGCCAGACCTTCCAACTTCCTGGTCTGGGAGTCCCAGCCTAGAGGTTCTACTGACACTACTCCTTTCCTTCGAAGTTCCCTCCTGGAAGGCAGAGGCCCAAAGCTGCATTGTTTCCAAAACAATCGATGGGCATGGGCTGAAAAGGGAAGGAGTAGAGGGAGAGTGTGTTTATGAGACCTCCCAGAGGAGATTCAGACCAGGGAAAGGAAATCTATAAAGGAAGGGTGATGAGGGGCAGCAGGTAGATGGTATAGACCTGTGCTGAGGGTCAGGGCTTCCAGCTGGGCTCAGCCTCCTACCAGTCCCTTGTCAGGGCCTTGAGCTGGTGATGGCATGACACCCCCACCCTGCCCTCCTGCTCACTGGAATGGTGGTCTCAAAGGCTCCTCTCAGTGCTATGAGTGTGGCATATTTTGAGGCTCAGCAGCAGCTGGGCAGCTGCTCTAGTGCCTGAGTCCACCCTGCCTGCCCCAGAAGAGCTGATAAGTCCACCCACTGCAAAGAGAGGCTCTAAGCCACCGTGACAAGCAGCATGGTGCCTCCACCCCACAGCCAGGATTGTGGCCACTGGAATGCTCCCCACCCCCAGCCCAGGAGCCAGGGCTGCTCTGGTGTTCCTGACAGTCCTCCTCAAGCCAGGCAGATGGGGTAGGGGGTCTCCCCTCCTGACGCTCTGGCTCCAGCCTGGGCTAACGTGGGAGATCCCAACTTGGGTTGCAGAGCACCAGAGGAGGTTTCCAGCAAGAGACCAGAGTCAGTGCTGACTTGGCAGGGGTGAACAAAGTGGGCATGGGAGCTCCTCGGGCCACCTCAGTCTCTCCCAGCTTCCTCACCCCAAGTGGCCACTTACAGCTGGGTCAGTGTCTGACCCAGTCATGGGGTGAAGTGGTCTCTCTGCTGTTCCCACCATAGGCTGTCTTGGCAGGCAGGGCCCCTTAGGAGAGGTCATCTTGTCTATCTCCCAGCTTCCACAGGAGCCCCTGACAACAGGGCACAGGAGAATCCCACCATGGATGAAGGGCCCCAGAGAAAAACTGGCCATTTCCTGCCAGGGTCTGTCCAGTGCCTACTTCATCCGGCCTTGGAGGAAAAAAACTAGTTTCCCACAGAGCCTCAGATAATTCGATAGCTGACCCTGGTTTTCACTGTGCTCAGCCTGCTCACTGTTTTACCTTCCTTGAGAACTGCAATCACAAGTCACTGAAGGACCAGGGTTGGGGGAACCACAGGGAGGGTTAGTTCTCCCATCCTCCTGCCTCCTCTGGGATGCACATCAGCCCCAGCAGGTTTCTCAGCATCTGAAGAATCTGCACTTGGCGTGGGGTGGACTCGATGTGTGGACTGTCCACTAGCTCCCTACCCAGCCCACCCCAGGGACACTCACATTGATGAGAGCCATGATCCAGAAGGCATAGGACACTCGGGTCCCTGCCCCGTCCTTTGGGGGCAGCCCCGGGAACGTCTGGTTGGACCAAGGCTTGGCCTCTATGTGGTGCTGGCCCAGCACCCTGGAGACATGGAACAGGTGGCTTCGGGAGGTGGTGTTGGCGGTGCTATTGGCAGGCAAGCAGTTGGCCTCAGACAGGAAAGGGTCAGCAATAAGGGGGCTCAGCAGAGCGCCAAAGCCCACGAAGAAGTGGAGCACCTGGGGACAGAGGAAAGATGGCAGGTGGGGGTGTGGTTCAGTCTTCAGCCTGGGGAAGCCATGGCCCGCTGTCCAGCCCAGAGTACCCACAGTGAGCCCCCTCCCCAACCTCACCCTGTGCCCCATCTGGGGCTGCTGCCCAGCCCTGGAGTGGGGAGCCATGGTGGGTAGGAAGCAGGAGAGGTGAGGAATGACACTCCTCTCTCAATCACCCTGCTGGCCTGAGATGACTTGGGTGACAGTGGGAAATTCCCTCCCTGTATTTCTTAATCCCCAGTTGGAACTGATCCCCATGTTAGCAGCAACTAGCTAACACCCCAAAAGGAAGGGGGCACAAAAAAGGGAAGGGTGGCCTGAATCCTGGGTGACTTGGAGGAGATGGAATAAGAGAGAGGAGAGAGGGAAGGAGAGAAAAGAGAGAGAAGCCAAACCCTGAGTCACACCCCCTTTCCAGTTCGCAAAGAGCTTTCTCTCTTGAGCGCTTAATCTCCTGGGACACCTAGCAGTGAGGGCAGGGATCACTGCCCTGCTTTACAGATGGGGAAACTGAGTCTAGAACTTACTAACCCAGCTGTAAGCGGCCACCTGGGGGAGGAAGCTGGGAGAGACTGAGGGGGTCCGGGGAACTCCCGTGCCTTCCCCAGTCCTCAGCCCTGTGCCTGCTGGCCTGGCTCACCTGGAGGAAGACAGCCGAATCCTTCTGGTACATCCTCACCAGCTGCATGTTGGCCACAGTGTCGATGCAGCCCATGGCCAAGCCCGCCAGTGCCATGACTGAGGCCAGCACCTTCACGTCATGGCAGAAGGGGATGACGGCAAACACCAGGGAGATGGCCAGAGAGGAGGTGAACAGGGCCCATAGTGACTGGGCCAGGCTGCAGGAAGGAAGAGCCGTGTCAGGGAGGGGCTGGAAGCATCCCCTCCCCCTTCTCCTCCATTTGCTGGGTGGTCTGGGCAGCCAAGATGTTTCTCACCCTCTGGTAGAAAAGGAAGAGAGCTGAGGAAGAAGCTGCCCACTTAATAGCTGTGAGCAAGCTGTCAGTATCTGTCTGCTCAGATAACAATCTACCTAACAAGGTGGCCACAGGACTCTTCACAAAGCCTCGCCACTATTATTCTACCTACACACAATTGTATGTGATTTCCTTAAACCTTAAACTGTTCACTTAAAAGCAATTAATGCAAAAAATATTTCCCACCCCTTTCAGGGAACCTGCTTTGAGCATCTCAAGAGACCTGTGCCATAGCATGCAACCACAGGTGGGACCCGGATGGAACCTGAGCCTGGAAGTCCCTGAGCTGGGTATTTCCTCCCCCTCAGGAATTGGCACTGGCTGCCCTGTGCCCTCCCCACACAGGAATGCTGAGGCAGCCATTGCCTCACAGGCAACAGGCCCGGGCCACCTGCACCAGTGCCCACAGCCCAGGTATTTGGGTGATTTGCTGACCCCTGAAGCAGGCACAGGTCAAAGGATCTGTGCCTGGCAAATGTGCAGGTGGGAGAGGAGGTGCTTCGGCCATCCCCACTGAGAGATGACCGTGTTGATCTTTCCCTTCTTCAGACCATAGAAAAGCCCACAGCAGGCAGGTGGAGGGCCTGCTACCTTACCAGTGAATGAATGAATGAATGAATGAGTGAGTGAATGAATGGTGTGTCTAAGGCTCTGTCAAGGTCTTTTTTGGGAAACTGCCCAATAACCAGATTCTCAGAGAAAGGATAAAGACTTGTATTTTCTGGGGCCAATCTGAAAGGCTAATGTCAGAGAGGAGAGATTGGGCAGCAGGAAGGTTCTGGAGGTTGTAGAGGAACTTTCTCAGATTCTGAAAAGTGAGAGAGGCACCACCCACCATCAGCCTCCAGTGTGGCTGCTGGACATGGAAAGGTGGGAGCTGAGAGAGGGGAGGGGAAAAGCCCTCTCTGAGTTTCACACAAGGAAAGGGGGAGGCCCCAGCGACCCCTCAGGCTGTCTTCCCAGAGCTTCTGCCCCTGACCCCCTTGGCTCTTGGCCTTGGCCCTCAGCCATCTCATCTTGCCCCATTTTTGATTAAATCCTTTATCAGGACGGCTCTGCTGATAGCAGCAGTTCATTATTTTCTCCTTTCTTGTTTCCAGGCTGATCTGCTAGGGAGATTACCGATCATGACAGTCATGACCCCAGCGTGTTCCCAGATCAGAACTCATCAGTAGGGGAGGGGGACCAACCTCAAGGCCAGCTGTTAGAAGGAGACGGAGGGAGGGTGTGTCATGGGGAGGCCTGCTCAGGGCCCTTCTGACTCCCCCTGGGGTTCCTGCTCTGCCAGTCCCCAGAACTGAGAGTTGGGCTGTGCCACACCCCTGCCCAATGCCCACTGCCTGCTGCCACTCGCTGTACCCCCATATGCTTCTGCTCCAGCATCCTCCTTGGCACCTGGCACAGAGGCAATGCTAATACACACCATGGGCTGATGAAAAGCAGGCAGCTCATCATAGTTCTCTTTCTTACTCCTCCCTTTCCCTGGACAAGATAAGCTAGGCAGCCTCCTGGGTGGCCTGACTTTAGGGATAGCAAGCAGATCCCCTGTCGGCACTCTCAGATATCCCCCTACTGATCCCGGAACCAGGACACAACATTTCCACCTCCTCACTCACCACTTTACGGTAAGCAGGGATGCCCCAAGTCAAGTGCAAAACTCTCTTGAAGAACTAACTCGTTATCATTGTTGCTTAAAATCCTGGGGGACAGTGGTGAAGCAATCGGCCCTGCAGCACGGTCCTGAGGGGTGGGACCTGGGATCTATAAACTGACAGGGGCAGGGGCTGCACAGAGTTATGGGAAAGGAAACCAGGATAATGGCGAGTGCGACTGTGGTCTGCACGACAACTGCTAACCTTTGTCATTTGGTACATATGACCAGGCTGTGAGGCAGGCTTTGTCATTGTGCCTATTTGACCCATGAGTAAACTCAGGCTAAGATAGCAGCAGACAGAGCCTGGATTCTAACCAAGGTCTTCTGGCTTGATAATCCGTATGCTATGCTGCTTTTCCATGGAGGAGTGTGTGTGCATGTGTGTGTACATGTGTACGGGTATGTGACTGAGTTACTCGCTAATGGCTCCACTTAGAAGGTGCAAATGCAGGAGGGAAAGGAGGGAGCCATGGACCAAGCCCGGCTGGAGAGGGAAGCGCCAGCCGAGAACAGGAGAGCAGATTCTGCAGAGCATTGATGGCAGGGCTAGGAAGCACTGGAGAGCTGCCGCAGTCTCTAGAACACGCGCCTCTAACACCCCTCTGCGGGGCTTAGCAGAGATCTACATGCTCAGTAGCATCACTGCTGGCTCCACTGCCAGCTTCCCCAGGCATCTGCCTCCGCCCGTTCATTGTGGAAGCCATGTCTGGCCCCACATTTAGCCCTGCAGAGACACTTAACCCAGGCTTCTGGACGTGGCTAGTGACTGGCACAGCGCTTGGGGAACGCTTGTCTTGCCACCTTACACGGGATGGCCTGGTAGAAGGGACTGGTTACTGCTGGGAGGCCAATGTGGGAGTTTTGCTAGTTTATCTGATAGGGGTGACAGAGATAGAGGCAGAGAAAGAATGATGTAGGGACGGGTTGCCAGAAAGGTGCCAGGTACACAGTGGGGGATAGGGGAAAGGGGAAGGGGTCAGGAAGGGATGAAAGGGGTCAGGAAGCCCTCCCTCTTCAGGTTTCGCCTCTGTCCTGTTCTGTGCTCTTTGTCTCCTCTTACCTGTCATTCTTGAGAAGGACACTAGGTGCCCACTGGGGACATGGTTGGTCCCAGGCTCAGCCACAGGCACGAGGGAGGGATAAAGAGAGAAAAGATGGAAAAGGGGGGCTGGAAAGAGCCAAGCCTGGGAAATCTCCCTGTATCTCCCTGGGCTGTGATTTTAGCTTGACAGGCTTGGAGGTTAGGGGGATGGAGACCTGTTCCCAATAAATGAGGACATCTGTGCCACAGGAAATCTTGTCTGTAGATCCCAGCTGCCCTCCCTCTCCAGTTGCTTCCACAGGGCTGTGCCTGGGCATTCCAAACATCAGCCTGAACAAATTTCTTTAGACTGATAGGCTGTTGCCAAGGAAAAGGAAGTCCCAGACACATCCCAGAGCCAGACTGAAATACATTTATTGCCTGTTTTAAATGGCTTGGTCAATAGCCCCTTCTAGGAATGAGGGTAATTAAAAATTATGGAATAACCATGTCAAAACAGTTTTGGAGTCAAGAATGTAGTGGGATCTGTAATCAGAATGCTGGGTTCTAGGCCTGCCTCGGCCACTTCCCAATGGTGTGGCTTGGGCAAGCCGCTTAACGCTTAGCCCCTCTGAGCCTCAGTTTCCTCTGCTGTAAAATGAGGACAACAAGCTCTGCATGAGATTGAGCTGCCAGGAGGAGTCCATGTGATGTGACATTTCATCCTCTTTTGTTCACTCTCTGGGATTTTCCCCTGGCCACCTGCCACCCCCTCCCAGGTGCTCACTGCCTCCCTGCTGGCTTTCCCAAAGAGCAATGTCAGGCCCAGAGAACTGCACTGAGCTGACAGGATACAGAGACCAGTGCCAGCTCCCAGGTTCCACTGCCCCCAGGCCTGCCCCTGTTCCTGCTGCAAGGCCCTTTGGGGTGACCCTGGGAGGCTGGCCCAGGAACTGTTGGAGGGAGGTATGCCCCTTGTCCCCTGCCCCACTCGCTCCCCACCCTGGGCAACATCTCAGCTAGCATGGCAGCAATGACACCTGTTCCTCATTTTACAGATTAGGAAACTGAGGCTGAGACAGGGTAAAAGGAGTAGAACTGAGCCAGGATCCAAAGTCTTAGCTCCCAATCCAGGCAAAGCCAGCAGAGTGGCAGATCATTGATCTTCCCTTCCCTGGTCCTGCGCTCTCAGGTTAATTCAGGCCAATTAGAGAAAGAGCCTCACTTTCACCGAGACCCACAGAGACCCACAAAATAGTCTAGACAGTCTGGAAAACCTACTTCAGGAACCCTCGGAAATGACCAAGTTACTTATTAATGGCTCCACATAGAAGATGTAAGTGGGAGAGGGAAGAGGAGGGAGCCAGAGTTCTCCACAAGGTGAACTCCCCTCTCTGCTAGAGCTGCCTGTCCAGCCACACTTGCTGGGTGACCTTGAGCTGCTGCTGCCCCCTCTCAGCCCCGTGCTCTGCCTTACCTCAAGGGAACACGTGATCACTTTGACCTGGCCCTGCCTTGGGCACTGTTCTTGCCCTCCTGGTTCTGTGAAAAGAGGAGGGAATGGTTGGCTCTGAAACAGGAGAAGGGCTTGAGCAGTAAGATGCCAGGCAGCCCACTCCTGCCTGCCACCCCCAGGGGTGGGGAATAATGCTGCTGAGGCCCAGCCTCATGCCACCATGGGTAGGGCCTGATGGCACTGACATTCTCCACATTTTGTCCCAAGAAGTCCCTCTGCCCAGCAGGGATGCTCAGGACATCTTCCTCCCGCCCTTCCCCTCCCAGCCTGGAAGACCTCCTTCCTCAAGGGACCAGGGGAGAGGGGCAGAGAGCAGAACTGTGGGAGAGTCACAGATGAAAGTGTCTCTAGCCCCTATCTACCCCAAAAGGGGCAAAAGGGACAGCCACCCTGAGGGAGATGGTATGGGGACCTGGGACAAGAAACCAGGAGACAAGGGACTCCCTGGGAGCTAGGGCAGGTTGGTGACTCTATCTCAAGCCAGGCTGATGGGGAAGGGGCAGCTGAAACTGAGGGCAGGGCAACTGTTAAAAAGGCTGCCGTCTAACTCAGTCACCCCAGTCTTTACACTGACATCCCAGTTGTTCAGGGCCCCATATTAAACCTGGAGAGATCCAAGGGGAGGGGCAGACAAACTGGCCTTTGAGGAGATTCCAAGCTAAGGCAGGACC